CCACGTATGTTGGGCACCAGCCTACGGACTTCCAGCTGAGCTCCTGCTGCCATCTTTGGCCAAGCTCACACTGGCTCCTGGTGCCCTTTTTGAGACCCCGTTGCGTGCTGGACTCAAGTTTTCTTTGAGCTGCTTGGCTTCCTGGGTGGAGGCGCAGCAAGGGAGCAGGATGGTGAGATGGCCTCAGAGCTCCGGGCTGAAGCATCCAGTCCCTCGAGTCCCAGGAGGTTCATGCGTCACTGCTGGTGAAATCCCCACCCAGGAGGGCTGGGAGAGGCTGGGATTGTCCTAAACAGCAACAAGCACCAGATGGGCTGCCAGCATTGCAAAAGGATGTTTCACCTGCCCGGTCCTTGGCCCCGCAGACAGGGACAGCCCCAGTGCCAGGCAGTGTGGTGGGGACATGCGCCTTGCACCCTCCTCGTCCTTAGAATGACTGAATCACTGAATCAGCTGGGTTGGAAAAGCCCTTTAAGCTCATCCAGTCCAACCCTTACCCCAGCACTGCCAAGGCCACCACTGCCCCATGGCACTGAGGCCTCGTCTCCACGCTGTGTGAACACTCGCAGGGACGGTGACTGCAGCCCTGCCCTGGGCAGCCTGTTCCAATGCCTGAGCACCCTCTGGGGCAGGAATTGTTCCTCAGCTCCATCTAAACCTGCCCTGGTGCAGCTTGAGGCCGTTTCCTCTTGTCCCATCCCTTGTTCCTTGGGAGCAGAGCCCAGCCCCTCCTGGCTCCATCCTCCTCTCAGGCACTTGTAGGGAGCCATCAGGTCCCCCCTGAGCCTTCTCTTCTCCAGACTAAACCGCCCCCCCCAGGTCCCTCATCCGTTCCTCATCACACTTGTGCTCCTGTTCCAGTGAAGATTAGAGGACACCACCCTCATCCTTGATAAGGACATGGCGAGCAGAGCCCGGGGAGGCAGGGGAGGTGTCACAGCCATCGCCCCCCGCCCAGGCAGCCAGGATTCAGCACCAGCCCCAATGGGCAGCGCAGGGGCATCAGAGCAGGGGCGTTCTCGCCCCGCTTTGCCCTGGCTGTGCCGTGCCAGGGGCACCCGCGCCCGGCCGGGCAGGGGCTGGTTCACACGGGGCGCTGGAAGCCGGGCTGCCGTGGGAAAGTGCGCCCGCCATGGCTCCCGAGCGCCGGGATTGCTTCAGCGGGGGTGCAGCCAAGATCCATTTCACAGAGGGCAGAGCAGATCTCGGCTGGGATTTACCGGTGACTCAGCGTGCGCTGGCACGGGCTGCCCCAGCGTGAGAACGGCGGCGCTGCTCCTCCTCCGGGCTGTGCCCGCGGCCACCCTGCGGCCCGCGGGGCACCGGCCACCGCCTCTGACGGGGGCGCGGGCTGCAGCCCCGGCCCCCTCCCCACCACCTGAGCCCCTTTCCCCCCCATGGCCCCGCACTCACACCAGGCGCTGCCCAGGCAGGACCGCGTGAGCGGAGACTCCCGTCACAGCGTCCCTGGGGCAGCGCTGGGCTGTGGGGCAGAAGCCGCTGCCCCCACCCCGAGCCAGGCACAGGGACCCTGAGATGTTGCGGGGTTGATGTTGTGTAGGGGACGTGTTTGCTATTGGGTCGTAGCCCCTGCTTACAGCAGTGGCAGTGTTCCGAGGAGCCACCGTCTCACTGCCAGGGAGATTTTTGCCCTTACATCCACCCCACTCCATGGGGCCACAACTAATCCTGTCATGATGGATGTGGAGAAGCCAAACCTTCCCAAGGAGCGACAACCCATCCCTTCCCCAGCAGAGAGGCTCCCCGCTTCCCTACCCTTAAAATAACAGCAAGATCCATGCAAAAACTGCTCCACATCCCCAGGTGGTGGCATTCAGATGCAGATGACTGTGGGAGCCGTGTCCCAAGGCTGGAGCTGAGCATGGAGCCTGAGGCCACCACTGGCCCCTGCATGGCAGGCTCAGCTGGGCCCATGGAGGAGGCAGGCTGCCCCGCTCGCTGCGTCTCCTCTGGCTCCTTTTGGCAAGGCATTAGAACAATTAATTGCAGTTTTTTATTACCGCTAATTGGCACTGCTCTGAGTGGCTGATCTGGCTCCTGCGCCTGCCCTGTGCTGTGGGGAAGCTGAGGTGGTGAAGGCCCGGAGGCTGGGAGCTGGTGTGGGGCACAGAGCCTCTCGGCAAGTGTCTGGCAGCCCCAGGGGAGTGGGAAATGCCAGGTTATCCCTGGGCTGCCAGGGCGAGCCTGACCCAGGGGGTGTCCCTAGTTTACAATGGAGATGAAGCTTGGAGAAGCAGAGAAGTTTGCCTGAGGTTGCTCATTGCATCTGAGGGGGAGCCAGAAGCCCCTCCTGCCCAGCGTGCTGGCACCAAACAACCAAGGGGGGGCTGTTGAGGTAGATTTTGGGGTTGTGATGAAGGGGAAATGAGGCTATGTCCACACAGGGTGCATGTCCATGCCTGGCAGGGAGGGCTGTTTGTCCTTTGTATCCCTGCTGCACCCATCCTGGTAACCGCATGGTTTGGGACCTCTCTGGGAGCATCTGATACATCCCGGTAGAGCTGGTGCTGCTGCTGCTGCCCCACATCTCTGCCAGTGCCAGGCTCAAGCCCCTCTTCGTGTGCAGCCCCCTCCCCATCAGCACTATCCTGTGGGAGTGCCTGGCACACATGTCCGGGAGCTGCCCGACACCAGTCCCTGCCTGCTGCAATCCCACCCATTGAGCCACACCAGGGATGTGGATCCCTGCTGGGTGGTGATACCCATGGCTCCAGGTCCAGCCTGTGCAGGCTCAAAGGAACCGTCCCATCCGTCCCAGCCTGCAGCATCAGCACCGGCTCCACCCGTAGCATCAGGGGCTGTCCCACAGCTGCGGGTGACATCAGTCACAAAAGAAGGAGCCCATCCATCTGTCTGCTTCTCTTCTTATGCCTGGATCTGTCTGTGCTCCTCTCCTGTTTTTCTCAGCCATCTTTCAGGATGGATCAGGCACAGCTGAGCTGGTGCAGAGCTGAGAGAAGGGGAGGCAAAGGTGTGCAAAGGAGCCTGTGAGCTCCAGTCCTCATTCCTCCAGGCAGCTGAAGCTTGGAGAGATCAGATCCAATGGTATTGGGTGGCCGCTATGGGTTGCAGTGTCACCATCTCTTGTGCGGGGCTGGCAGTGAACTCCATAGTGGCATAACCTGATGGGATAACTCCCAGGGGCTGATGTGGCTCTCCAGAAATACAGGTTTGCTCAAATAAGAGAATCTTTGTTTCCCTGGGTCTCCCCCAGCTCCAATCCCCAGGTGTCAGGGTTTGAATGTGTTTTGCCCTGCATAGGGCAGGGAGCTCAGTCAACCACTGCAGCCCCCAGGATGAGCGAGGGACAGGCCACGAGCTGGAGCAGCATGTGGTGGTCTGACCCATGTCTGCAGGAGTGAGAGTGCCCTAATGCTTGAGTGCAAATCAAGGATTGCTGCAAAATTCCCTATAAGAAGTGATGCAGCAGCTCCCATGTCACTTGGGTGCTTTCAGGATCACACCTTGTCCATCTCTGTCTGGGCTGGAGCCACGTGGCTTCAGGGACTGCCAGGGATGGGGCAGCCACAGCTTCTCTGGGCACCCTGTGCCAGCGCCTCAGCACCCTCACAGGGAAGAGCTTCTGCCTAAGAGCTCAGCTCAGTCTCCCCTCGGGCAGGTTAAAGCCATTCCCCTTGGCCTGTCCCTACATCCCTTGTCCCAAGCCCCTCTCCAGCTTTCCTGCAGCCCCTTCAGGCACTGGAGCTGCTCTCAGGTCTCCCCTTCAGGAGCCTTCTCTTCTCCAAGCTGACCCAGCCCAGCTCTCTCAGCCTGGCTCCAGAGCAGAGCTTTGGAGCAGCATCTTCAGTTTCTGGCCAAATCATGCTGGGGCTGGGGAGCGTGTGCTGGTTATGTGGCGGCTGCTGGTGGAAACAACTTTCCTGCAGCTCTGCCCTGCAGCAGGGACATGGTGCAAGCTCATTTTCAAACAAATCATCCTCCCCCCGTGCTCCCGCAGGCAGCTGTGTGGGAAGCAGGGGCATCGCTGTACCTGGCTGTGAACCCAGCGCTGCTGCAGCCAGCGCACTGCAAACCAGCAGAGCAGCCGCGGGGCCGCGCTCGGGCCTCTCGGGAGGTGCAAAAACCTCTCTGGTTTCAACAGGGTTTGGAGCGAAGCCCCAGGCAGGGATCTTGTTCGGGTGGGTGAAGTCGTGCACCTCACTCCCTGCCTGCCTTGGGTGCAGCGTGCTGGAAACGCTCTGCAAGCAGAAAACAGCCCCTAAGAGCAAGCAGCTGATGAGAGGTATTACAGCACATCCCAGCATCCAGCTCCAGCCCAAGCAGGGAAAGGAGAGGGAAGCTGTTGGAGCTGGGTGCACGCTGCCCAGCAGATCTGGTGTCTGCTCCTTTTGGGTGCAGCCCATGGCACCCAGCTCGGGTGCTCCTCAGTGGGGTTTGATCTGCTCCTTGAGGGGTCTGCTTCCCCAGAAGGCAGCACCCAGCATGCGCAGATGTTCAGTGACCTCTCTGGGCACATTTTGGCAAACCAAAGATGAGGGAGAAAATGCGACTCGGTGCTTGTGGTGCTGTGGCAGAGCTGGGCTGAGTGGAGCGAGCCAAGACCCCAGCATATCTCGGGGTCTGCAGCCATCCTTCCGAGCGTCTGTGAGACAAGGGAGGACAAATCTTGGTTGATGTTTGTAGGTAACCTCCATTGCTGGTGTTTTCTGGCATCGTATAGGGCTGGGTAGTGAGGACTACCTGGGGTGGACTGCAGCACTGCCAGCCTGGCATGAAGATGTGGCTAAGCAGCATAAAGATGAGAGCCTCTGGAGAGGAGGTTCTTGTGGCTCGTGAACCCTAAAATTTGTGTCTGGTGCCATTCTGCCACCTGTCTTGGTGGGACAGGCCTTGCCCCACGTCCTGCTGAGGTGTGGGGCACCCACACCCCCTGACAGCCTCTGGGGGTGCCTGGTGTGGCAGGAGATGCTCAGAGAGCGCAGATGCCATCACCCTGACCTCCCTTTTCTCTCTTGCAGGTGTGCAACTGCGACAAGTACCTGAAGGTCTCAAGGGAGAAGATGAGGCAGCTGGTGGAGGACAGCAGGCAGGCACCGGGGGCTGGCAGCACAGGTAAGTGCGTGGGTGCCCATGGTGGGAGCGATGCTCTGACCCCAACCTGTCCACTCCCACCTGGGATGCGCTGCCCATGGCGGACTGAGCCATCCCACTCAGACTGGGGTTCTCTCAGAGGGGAGAATGGAGTCTCCTGCCACCACCCTGCTGCACAGAGCTGTTCAAACCCACTTTGTGCCCGGCTGAGCTTGTGCACTCTGAGTGCACCGCCCCCAGCCCGCCACCCCAGCTGCCCCTTACTGCCCTGCAGGTACCGGGTTGTGCGTAGGGTTCGCAGCCCAGGGTGGTTTGGTGAAAGCTCAGCTTGGGCTGTGAGATGCCTCCTGGCTGGTGCTGCGGATGGTGCCTCTCACCTGCACGGTGCCTCCCAAACTAGGTCAGGCTGCAGGAGTGAGTCAGAGCCTCCTGCCTGGCGGGCTCGGGAGGGAGGAGGGCTCTTCCATGCAAAGCCAGGTTGGACACAGGGGCTTGGAGCAAGCTGCTCTAGTGGAAGGTGTCCCTGCCCGTGGCAGGGGTTGAAGCTGGATGAGCTTTAAGGTCCCTTCCAACACAAACCAGGCTTATTCTGTGCCCTGCCCCAAGCTGCACTGACCTGCAGACACCCCTCCCCACCGGGAACTGTAGTTTGCTGGTCAGTGGCACCCACCGCAGGCACAGCAGGAACGTGCCCCTCTCACTGCTCTGCCCCAGCACAGGCTCTGCCCCAGCCCTTGCTGCTTCCAGTGCATCGGTTTCCCCATCTGCTCGACAGGTGAGAGCCATGCGAGAGCGGCTGCGGGTGCTCCTGGCTGGCTGCAGCTTTGCTGGGAACCGCACTGGTGGCTCGGGGCTTGCGGGACGTGGTGGGGTGGCTTTTCCCATGTGCCAGCAGCCTGGGAGCCCAGGAGGCCAGGCCACTCTCCGCAGCAGTTCCTCTGGTGAGGGCACTGCCGTGTGTACCCAGCGACCAGCCGGGCCTGTTCAGCCAGTTCCAGAGTATGGGAAATAGCAATGCTGTGGTTTGTGCTCAGTGTGTGAGCCGTTTCCCCTTCCCCCTTTGGGATGGGGATGATGGACCTGCAGCGTCTCACACAGCACCAGCATCATTGCTGCTCCGTGTGGAGTCTTCAGGGACCAGCTTGCTTTAACTTTACACCATGTCTGCAACACCCCATGTCCCCATCGTGTCATGCAGCCTCTCACTGGGTCCTCCATGTCCTTGGGGGTCTCACAGGGAGGGACCAGTCTGCTGCACCAGCCACATCAGGCACGACCTGGTTGGGGAGCATGGAGCAGTCAGGGACAGAAGATGCTACAACATCCTCAGAGGGCTGATGTTTTGCTGCAATGGATGCATAAAATAGAAACTGTGATTCCTGGGCACCTGATCCAAAGTGAGGACCCCTGGAGACTTGCCGGGGGGGTTCCCTGTGCCCCAGAGCTCTGGCCATCCTGGGGTTTCCATCTCTAGTTAGATCCTGCTGGAGGCTGCAGGGATTGTGAGCATCAGCATGACCTCAACTGGGTTGTCCTCAAAATGTCCCACTGCGGGTCAAATTTTGTGGAAGAGAAACAGGGGAAGGGTGTGATGACAATGATCCTGCAGGACCAGCCTGGGGCTGCTCACGTGCTGACTGCAGAGCCCAGGCCTGTGTGCCGCTCCATTTGGCTCCTGATTTTTATGGCAGGGCTTCCAAGTGATGAAAGGCAAATTATTCATCCTGTAATAGCTCACTCCAACTCACACCTAGGACTTTCCCAGCTCCTAGGGAACGTTTTCCCTGACACAGCCGCATTCTCCCTGCATGAGGGCTTTGATGGAAGTGCAGGAAACAGCTTCAAGCCCAGACAGCTTTGCCCCATGATGCCTGTTTCCCAGTGGGATGCTTTGAGCAGAAGGGATGGGGCAGAGAAAGGCTGGGGGTCACCACGTGGCACAGGCAATAACTTGTAGGAGGCCATTGGCAGTGTGTGGGCTCTTAGATGACCCAGGGGGATGGATGTGTCACAGGTTCTGGCTGGGGGAAGCTTCTTGCTTAGTCAGTGTGGTAAAACCTGCTGGCACAGGGCCTGGTGCTCAGGGGATGCTCTGCCAGCTGGAACTTCGTCCCTGGGAAGGGCAGAGATGTAGCACATTTGATCTCATTGGGATTTGCCAAGCAGAAAAGGCTGATTTAACCACAGCATCACCCCTCGCATCTGAACCGTTTTATGAAGCATAAAAACAACTGGTCCTGCTTTCCTTTTTGGCCACACTGCTCCCCAGGCACGCTGGAGCCTCTGCTCCGTGCTGCAGAGAGGTGGAGGAGCAGGAAGAGCAGCCAAGGGTGCTCAGGGCCCCCAGTGCAGCACCCTGGGGATCTCCAGGCTGGGAGAGCATCCTCCCTGACCAGCCAACAGAGATGGTACTTGAGAGCAGTGGCATGTGCACTACCTGTCTTCTGCTCCAGCATCACATCCCACAGGGGCAGGATAAGCCCCATCAGCCCCGTGGGCAGCTGGAGGAGCAGTGCTGTGGGGCTGGCATGGGGCTGGCAGGGCTCCCCCCACCACCACCAGCCAGAAGTGGCCCAGGGTCTCTTTTGTGGCCCTCAGCTCCACAGGGCAGGCACAGGCAGTGGGAGGAAGAGCTCAATACCACAGTGTGGGGAAGGCTTCACTGCAGCTCCGAGCCAGGGTGACCCCAGAACAGTGGCGGGTCCCTCTGCTACAGCCACTACCCAGGGGCTGAGGGCAGGGACTGGCGGGACCCACTCCTCTTCACCAGGGTGCTGATGGCCTCTGGAAGAGGCCACTGTGTGCCCAGAGCCTGAAGGCTGAATGCAGGGTTGTTTCCTGATGTACAGCGTTTGGTTTGCTGTGAGCATCCTGCTTGTCTCATTGCCATGTGGGAAGGGTGGGTGATGCCTCTGCTGTCCCAGGAACACACACCAGACTCAGCATGTTGGAAAGGCCAAGGCACCCCAGATGTCTCAGGCTGCTCTGCATGCTTCTGCAGGGAAGGGGACAGGTCCCCAAGGGACTCCTCAGCCCCCTTCACCCTCAGACCAGATTTAGGCTCCCTTCCCTCCAGGGTGCAGCAGGGTGATGGGAACATGCTCCTGTCTGTCCTGAGTAGGACATGGGTGGGGAGCGGGAGCTGCAGTGGTAAGATTGGCCAGAAACATGCCCCAGGCTCCACAGGTTGTGCTCTCCCAGCTCCCCTTCTTCAGAAGAGTTTCATTTGCTCATATAAATCCCACTGCAGGGCTGTGGGTATGCAGGGCCCTGCGTGTACCCACTGACGGTGGTGCTGTGCTGAATAAGGAACATTACAAGAGAGACACTGAGGTGCTGGAGCGGGGCCAGAGAAGGGCACTGGAGCTGGTGCAGGGCCTGGAGCCCAAGTGTGATGGGGAACGGCTGAGGGACCTGGGGGGCTCAGTCTGGAGAAGGCTCAGGGGGGACCTGATCGCTGCCTACAAGTGCCTGACAGGAGGATGGAGCCAGGAGGGGCTGGGCTCTGCTCCCAAGGAACAAGGGATGGGACAAGAGGAAACGGCCTCAAGCTGCCCCAGGGCAGGTTTAGATGGAGCTGAGGAACAATTCCTGCCCCAGAGGGTGCTCAGGCATTGGAACAGGCTGCCCAGGGCAGGGCTGCAGTCACCGTCCCTGCGAGTGTTCACACAGCGTGGAGACGAGGCCTCAGTGCCATGGGGCAGTGGTGGCCTTGGCAGTGCTGGGGTAAGGGTTGGACTGGATGAGCTTAAAGGCTTTTCCAGCCTGGCTGATTCAGTGGCTCTATGGGCACTCCAGGAAGAGGTTTGGACTCTCTGGTGCTCCCGTCCAGCGCTGGGTGCTCCCACAGCAGCACAGGAGATGAGAGCCGCTGAAGGTGCCTCTTGCCTTGAGCTCATCCTCCCTCCTCCACCCTGGGAACATCTCAAGATTGTAGCCGGGGCTGCTGCAGCCCCGAGTTGCTCAATCCTGGGTCCTTTGTCCTTTGCTTATCAGTCTTACCGAGGAGGAAAAGATAACCAGGCATCTCCAGCGCCCTGCAATCCAGCGTGGTTCTCAGGCTCGTAACTCCTCTTATCCGGCTCGATCTCTCACCGCGGCCAGGTTTCCCATGCACTTTGTACTCCAGGAATGCTCCCAGGTCTCTCTCAGCCTTTACGAGGCGCTTTCTCCAAAACACCTCCGCCTCAGTTGCCCAACGAGGGCTCCTGGCTGAGGCGGATGGAGCGGCTGCGGCTGCGGGAGGGCTCTCCTTGCACAACCGCTGCCAGGCTGCAGTGCGGCTCCTGCTGCGGAGCTGCGGGGCGAGGAGCAGCGCCAGCCGGGACCGGCCCCTGCCCCAGGCCTGGCTCTGAGCCGGGACCGGAGCTGCAGACCCGTCCCGGGGCAGGGCTCTGTGCGGGAGCTCCCGGCGGCCGCGGGGGGCAGCCACCTTTGTGTTTCCAGCACACAAGGGCAGCACTGGACCCCCCTGCCCCTGTGCTGGGCTGCATCCCCAGAGCGTGAGCAGCAGCTCAGGAAGGGGATCCTGCCCCTCTGCTGCGATCTGGGGAGACCCCCCCTGCAGCTCTGGGGCAGCAGCACAAGAGGGACGTGGAGCTGTTGGAGCGAGGCCAGGGGAGACCATGGAGATGCTGTGAGGGCTGGAGCAGCTCTGCTCTGGAGCCAGGCTGAGAGAGCTGGGCTGGGGCAGCCTGGAGAAGAGAAGGCTCCTGAAGGGGAGAGCTGAGAGCAGCTCCAGTGCCTGAAGGGGCTGCAGGAAAGCTGGAGAGGGGCTTGGGACAAGGGCCTGTAGGGACAGGCCAAGGGGAATGGCTTGAACCTGCCCGAGGGGAGACTGAGATGAGCTCTTAGGCAGAAGCTCTTCCCTGTGAGGGTGCTGAGGCGCTGGCACAGGGTGCCCAGAGAAGCTGTGGCTGCCCCATCCCTGGCAGTGTTCAAGGCCAGGTTGGACACAGGGGCTTGGAGCAAGCTGCTCTAGTGGAAGGTGTCCCTGCCCGTGGCAGGGGTTGGAGCTGGAGGAGCTTTAAGGTCCCTTCCAGGCCCAGCCACTCTGGGATTCCATGAAACTGGGGCTGTGTGTTCTAGGAAAGGGGAATGGACTCAGCTCCAGGGGTTTGCCCTGATCCTTCTCTGTTCTGGCTTCCCAGGCCCTGCTGTGCCTCCCATCCTGCAGTGGGGAGTCCCAGTGCTGTCCCAGTAATTCTGACCCAGGACCTCGTGACTGACAGAATGGGCTGTAGGGACTGCAGGTCACCAGTGCCACCATCACAGTGGCCTTTCAGCATGACCCTACACCACTAAGGGCCTCTCTCTCAGCAGGGGGTGCACATCCCCCTGCCCGCTGCAGGCAGCCTGTGCCCTGTCCCACATCCCTCCCACTGGGCTCAGCCCCCCAGCCTGTGAGCAGGACCTTGCTGTGGGGCACGTGGAACTGGAGCTCCTGTCCCATCCCTGCCTTCCCTGTGGCTTTTGGGACACGTCACTTTGCCCACCACAGCCCCCCTGCTCAGGATTCATGTGGGACCATCATCCGAGCCCGCAGATGCTGCCGTGCCCTAGGGGCACACAGCCCTGCTCCCCGGGGTGAAGGTACCACCAGGAGCTATGCAGTGCCCCAGGGCATGAGATGAGGCTTTGCTGTGGGTCTTCCGCACTGCCTGAGCCTGGGGGCTGAAGCAAGGTGGTCCCCCCTGGGCTGCTGGGGCTCCTGCTGCCCTCCACCTTGCAGAGCATGGGGCCAGCCCAGCTCTGGGGTGCGTGGCAGTGGCTTTGGCATGAAGCAGGGCTGCTGCAGAGGTGGGATCCCACTAACAGGGTGGCCCTGTTCAGCCCAGGGAAGAACCTGATGCAGAAACAAGCAGAACTGGGGACTTGCAGCATCTCCTTTCCCCTGGACATGGCAGCACTCACTGAGACGTGTCCATGGGTGGGAACAGCAGCGGTTTGTGCTGTTCCCACGGGTCAGCAGGGGCTGGAGATGTGAGCAGCAGCACATGTCAGGGCAGGAGGAGGTGGCTCTGCGCTGCGCAGGGCTGCAGCTGCAGCACCAGCACCATCCTTGCTGCCCATGGAGCTCCAGGGCACCAACACGTGTAGGGGCTCAGCGCCTGGGTGCTGAGGGGCTGTGGGGCTCAGCCCCCGCTGGAGCCCTGTCACCCCCAGAGTGACCTGGGCAAGAGGGGGAGAGGTGAGTGAGAGGCAAAAGGGCTTTTTATTTCTGGGATGTTTTCTAATGGGATTATTAGTTCCCAAGAGGTGTTTCGAATCGATTTGGTAAGGAATCGCTTTCATTTCTCCTCCGCAGAGATGCGGTGGGAACCCAGCCTTTGGTGTGAGCCATCACACAGCTCTGAAAGCCACGGACCTGAAACCCTCCTGGCACATGGGGAGGATACGCTTGGCTCCCCGGGCCCCACGCACCCCACACATGCCTTTTGCTCCCTCTCCAGCATAGCTCTGCCGTGCAGCCCTGCAGGAGCTCTGCGGGCTCTGCCTATCTCAAAGGGCAGAAAAAACCCTCCTTCAAAAAATCCCTCCTTTTCTGCGGGAAAACCCCTTTCCTCCTGTGGGAGCTGACCTCCTCCTGGTGCAGGTTTCACCCCATGCCCGGCTGGCACCCTGTGCCTGGCGCCCCATGGCCCCTTCACCACGGCGGCGGCAAGGGGAGCGCAGGCAGCTTCAAAAGCCCTGGAAAGAATTTGGTGGGAGGGGGAGAAGGGGTTTTACAAGCTCCCATTCAGAAATGGTCACTTTGAAGTGATGTAGCATTTTCAACCCTTTGAAGAGCCACAATTAGGTGGGGGCTGGTGCAAGTGAAAGGCAAAACTAGTGGGTGACCATCATGGCCTTTCTCTCCCAGGGCTTTTAAGGGATGAACTTTTCCTCCCTGCCTTTTTCTCATGAGCCCAGGGGGTGGGATTGGAGTCTGGGGGGGAGCTGGAGGTTTCATCATCCCCCTTGCAGGGGGGGTCCACACTTGCCTTCACCCCCAGCAGCAGGGCAGCTAATGGAGCATGTCAGAAAGGAGAGCACATGGGGTGTGTGTGCCCTGGCGCTGATGGGGTTTGGGTGCTGCAGGGTGAGGCCAAGGGATTGTTTAGGTATCCATGAAGGGGAAAGGTGCTGCAGTGGTGCTGGCTGCTGGCAGCATCCTTTCCATTCGGGCTGGATCCAGAAGTGCCACCCAAGGTCGATGTCCCTCCCATCAGGGTCCTGGAGGCAGATGCAGAGGTTCCAGTGCTCAAGAGCAGGCACAATGAATAGAAACAGGGGGAAAGGCAAATTTGTGTCCATATGGTAGATACTGAGGAGAAATGTGCTGGCCCAGGCTATGCAGGTTGTCTGTGGTTCCTGTGCTTGAAGGTGCATCCTGCAGCTTGGCCTCCTCAGCATACCCAGGCTGAGGCCACCCCACAACATCGTGCAGCACAGGGCAGAGGGATCTGCCACCTACTGATGGGCTCTGTCCTGGAGGAAACCCTGGGAACAGGGATTCTCCTTCACATCCTTGCTCCAGCCAGCTCAGGGATGTCCTGAGAGCAGCCCCGGTGCTTTATCTCATGCCAAACTGGGTGAAGATGGGAAAATGAAGTCACTGGTTCCTCTCTGAGAATGGATGCTGTGTCCCAAGGAAATGGAGAGGATGTGGGAAAGGCACATCCATGAGAGGGGCCGTGGGATGCCCAGGGCACAGCAATGGTGAGCTCAGTTCTGGGCCAGTGGCTGGGTCTGAGCTTCGGGCTGCTTGTGTTGTGTCAGCAGACCCCAGCCCTGAGGTTGTGAGCTGGTCCAGGGCTGGTCTGCAAAACACCCTGAGAACACGTGCAGTGACAGGCTTGACCCTGCGTGTGGCTGGGTGTCTGCTGGGAATGAGGGGGCACCACCCCCACCAGACTGGGCTCGTTGTCTCCTCTGGGAAGATGTGGAAGGGCCTGGGGGGCTCGGGGGATCCCCCTGAACCAGAGGCCGGTGTGAGCTGAGCCTCCTGCAGCTCTCCTGGACTGTGGCTCTTTTTGCTCATGCAGTGGTGGGTCCAAGCCCTGCCTGGCAGCCATGGGGTCTGTGCTGGGACACAGTGGCCATTCCAGGGCTGTCCTCATCCCACAGTAATCCCTAGCATACCCCAGCTCCTGCTGGCGTTGGGATGCAGGGAAAAGCCACCTGGGAATAGGGGTGTTCCTGTGTCACAGCTGGCTCCCAGCACAGCTTCGTCTGCACCCCCAGAGGGGCAGGCTGGGTGCCCAGAGGTGCTGCTGGAGCGATGCAGGATACCTTTTGTCTTGATGCCTGGGCAGGCTGAGCCCCCCCCTGCCAAAACTGAGTCATCCATGGCAGTGAGCAGAGCCACCCCCGGCTGCAGCTCCTGATGGATGGGAGGCAGCTCAGCCCTTGGCTTCCACTGCCCGGATGTTGGGAAGCCTGCATGAGCTGCCAGGAATGCCACAGGGCTGGTGGCACTCAGTGATGGCAGTGATGCAACCCAGGACAGGGCCCAGGACACGGGACCCCTCACAGGACATGGCCCCAGGTTGCACCACACTGTGCCCCTTGCTGGGTGTCACACACACCCCTAACGCCAGTGTTCTTGGGCAGGTCTGAGAATTGTGGGTGCCAGGTTGGACAGGGCTTGGAGCAAGCTGCTCTAGTGGAAGGTGTCCCTGCCCATGGCAGGGAGTTGAAACTGGATGAGCTTTTAGGTCCCTTCAACCCAAACCAGTCTGGGATTCCACTATTCTATGAGCACTGCAGACAGCTGTTAATGGCTGTGTGTAATGAAAGCAGCAGTAAGGGCTTCCCTTGCTGTTTGCTTGCCCTGTAAGATAGCCCAGGCTGGGGGGGGACACAGCCCACACTGGAGAGAAGCCTCACCTGACCTGCACAGGGAGGTAAATCCTGTACTGCAGAAGCACTGGTGCAGTTACTGGTGCAGACCCGATGCTGCCCAGGCTCAGAACACAACGGAGGAGCTGCTGGGGACAGGAGGCTGCCCGGGTGCCGTGCTCGGGGCAGGCAGTTAGTGGGTGCTGGTGGCCACCTTCTCCCAGACTCCCAGGATGCTCATCACCGGGATGCATCACAGGGCCTGGACTCCCCGCAGGGATGACAGACACCTCACAGTGGTTCGTGTGGCTGAGGACAGACACCGCTCCTCATGCTACTGCCTGATGGTTTATCTGCTGTCCTCTCTTCCCACAGGCTGCCTGGTGAGCTGTGAGGAGAAGCCCCATCGGGGCTGCGGTGCTGCTGTGTCCTCCCATGGCACAGCCCAGCCCTGCTGCTCCACACACCCCGAGCGGCCGGAGGGCCCAGTGCTGGCAGGGGGCACGGTGCTGCAGGTCGCTGCCATCCCCCCGGGGGTGCTGGACAACGCCAAGCTCACTCACTTCTATTGCTGCACCGGCTGCGGGAAGGTGTTCTGGGAAGGCTCCCATTTTGGACGCGTTGTCTCCCAGTTTCGGGATGTTCTTGTCACCAGCAGGGACAAGCAGACCATCTATGAGCTGAGTTGAGGGAGGACACAGGGGCTCCACAGGGCGATGGACACAGATTTGGGGCCCTGGGTTTGGGGTGCGGGGCTGGAAGGGAAGGGCTCTTGTTTCAGGGTCTGCAGTGGAGGGGACTGTCCCACTTGCACTGATGGTTTGGGACAGCCGAAAGTAAGTGACCTCCATGAGATCAAACCAGAATTGGCTGGAGGACGGAGCCTTTGCTTTAGCTCTGCCTCCTTCCAGGCTGGACATGGCAAGAGGGTGGCAGAGCTCTCCCAAACACCACCCAGGCAGTGCCAACCGCATGGCACCCATCAAGCCCCAGCATCCTTGCCCAGGGGCTCATGCTGGGGTGCTGGGAGCTGTGTTCCTAACAGCAGCAAAGGGCAGAGAGCACCTCCAGTGCCAGCTCACTCCCCGGCCTGTGGGACTTGTCTTATACCACAACTCATCCCCAGCATCCACAGTGACCCTGGTCCAGCTCTCCTGGAAGCTCTCCTGGCATTCACAGCATCACAGAATCAACCAGGTTGGAAAAGCCCTTTAAGCTCACCCAGTCCAACCCTTACCCCAGCACTGCCAAGGCCACCACTGCCCCATGGCACTGAGGCCTCGTCTCCACGGGGTGTGAACACTTGCAGGGATGGTGACTGCAGCCCTGCCCTGGGCAGCCTGTTCCAATGCCTGAGCACCCTCTGGGGCAGGAATTGTTCCTCAGCTCCATCTAAACCTGCCCTGGTGCAGCTTGAGGCCGTTTCCTCTTGTCCCATCCCTTGTTCCTTGGGAGCAGAGCCCAGCCCCTCCTGGCTCCATCCTCCTGTCAGGCAGTTGTAAGCAGTGATCAGGTCCCCCCTGAGCCTTCTCCATCCTCGGAGGCAATGGGTGGGCACAGGGGTTGATGTCCCGAGGGGCTGAGCACTGCTGGGACATTTACCCATAGGCAGCCCGAGGCTCGCGTCCCCTCTCCCCGAGCTCCTGGCTACACAGTGCCTTCCCCCAGGGACATCTCACCCCTCCCAGCTCAGCCCATGGGCAAAAAATCACTTTTTCCACTTTAAACATCCCTATTTCCATAGCTCCTGCCCAGCGTTTACTACAAGTGACCTTATAAGGTGGCCATCCCCATACTGCACCCCAGCGGTCCCTGTTGACCCTGGTGACACTTCCTATGGTCAGTGTGTGCTGTTTTGTCCTGATTTCCATCAGAAGATGGCAGAGGACCCCTGTGCCCACCCTGTGCCTGTTTAAGGGCAGGGATGCTGAGCTTCTCCCCTTCCCATCAGGACACGATGGCTTGTGGGTCTGGTGCTGGCCAGAAGCAACTACAAGGATCTGTGTTTCCAGGGGGGGCTGGAGGGTTATTTTCCCTCCTTCCCTGCCGTTGGCTTGGTAGAGCTTGGAATGAAAGCCTCCTCCATGGCTGAGCATCACCATCAAAGCAGTATCTGTGGGACCAGGGTCATGCACCAGTGAGACCCCCTGCTCCGGCTGTACTGCAGGGCACTGACTATTTTGACACCGGCTGCTGTAGATGTGCCCTAAACCCACTTTTTCACCATCACCTCCGTCCCCATGTCTCTTGGTTGGGTATCACCCTTAGTGGCATCATTTTTCCACATTTTGTTACTCCTCAGTTGTAGACATGGAGGAACTGGTTTATGTCCTGCCTTTCCAGCTGCGCACTCTCTAGGCATTAATTTCTTAATTCCCTCTGTCTAAGGGAATTTCCTCTTCACTTTTACCTCCGAGTTATGTTTCTGGTGCAACAGTTTGGGGCCCAGCAGCGACAGCAGAGGATAAAGTGTGTTCTGCTGCACTGGCATTGTTACAAGGCTTCCCATCAAGTGTCCAGGCTGGGTGGTGGGAGACCTGCAGAAAGGGGCACGTGGGATCCCTGCTGAGGGACCCTCAGCACCCCCCTGGGGCACCCACTGCCCCATGGCCACAGGGTGCTGGGTTTGCCACCCTCAGCCTTGTGCTGTCCTCTGCCTCGGGGGTTTTCCCACTGTCCCTGTGTGTCCAGGTGACCCGTTCAATGCCTGGAAGCAGCGTGCCCTTACAGTCACTCCCCTCTGGTGCCAGTGCCCTCGATGCTCAGCTCCTCCAGTGCATCCTGCCACCTCCTCTATGAATGCTTATGTGCCTTATCACGTCCTTGTGGGCAACCAGACCCTCGCGTCCCTGGAGCAGCACGTGCGGACCCTGACGAGTGTCCCATGAGCAGAAGGAGGACAAGGTCCTGCTTTGCCACAGCCCCTCTACCCTCAGCAGCCCAAACCCCCGGCTCCACACGGACTCGCGCGTGTGTCAGCATCCTGCCGCGCCAGGGCTTGCCTTGGGAAGCAGGGATGCTGCCGGCCCCTGCAGTGAGCGGTGCTTCAGCGAGGAGCCTTTCCGGACCCCGCCTGGGGGAAGCGCCTGAGCGACCCCAACATGATTCACCCGGGAGGTCAGAGCTGCAGCCCTGCGTGTCCCCAGCACCCCCGGGGCACTGCCAGCCTCTGTTCACTGGGGTCTGGGAGCTGTGGTTTCTCTTCACTGCCAGTGCTTCCAGTGCGGAGGGGAACTGGCAGGGGAACAGTGGGGCTCACTAACCCTGTCCCTTGCCCTGGGGACTCCTGGCCACACAGCTGTGGGGAAGAGCCCATTCCTGTGATCCCTGGGGGTGGCAGGATCCCTCCTGGCCACCTCCAGCACTTTATCTCCCTGCCATCCCTGTCAGTCTGTGGGAAGCTCTTGTGCTCACTGCCTGGGCTGCTGGCACTTGTGCTGGGCAGGCTCGCCACACTGGAACCTGCTGTAGGGGGACATAAGCTGAGGACAGACATAAGCAGGTCGTGTTCCATGTGGGCATGGAACAAAACAGTTCCCAAAGGGTCTCATCCAGCTCCTGGGGCCGGGAACAGCAGCTGAGACCCAGCACAGCACCTCTCCCTTTCTGCTGCCTGCAGGCAGGATCTGTGCAGCAGGATCATCTCCAGTCACAGACACACAACATCAAGCTCCACATAGGACTCGCCTTGAGGAGCATCCAGGAAGTAATAAATTGCTCAGTTTTGAATGGTGGATACAGATCAAAGGGAGCCAAACCAGGTTTTTAATCAACCTTCAACAGTGTTCCCCTACCCAGCTACTTAACAAAATACATATTAAAAATCCCACTGTTTGTGCCATACAAATGTTTAACATTTCTTAGGGCAGCATCGAGCCCTCCGTGGGTTTATGGAGCCATTTGATCATGTGGCAGTAGTGTCACAGGGGTGGGTGGGCTGCCCATGCCAAGAGCCCTTTGATCCCCTTAGGTCCCCACGTCACTTCCCCTGCACACAGCTCCTGCCCCTGTATTGCAGGATGCGATCACAGGGGGACCCTGTGATGACACAGCACCAGGAAGCGTTTATTATCCCGCCAGCCTGAATGAGACCTCAATGAGCACCCTGAGGAATCACACGCTGCATCGGATGTGAGGCAGGTTCCTCTCCTCGCCTTGTGTACACCTCACATATCCTCAGAGCTTGATGGGGACAAGGTGTTTGGCACTCAGGCCAGCTTTAGTTTACAAATGAATATATCAACATTGTTCCTCATCAGGCAGGAATGTGCTTCCCTCCTTTCTCCCCCACCTTATCCCCATCCTCTTCCGAGCAAACTTCCTTCCTCCTGTAATCTGGAGCGGAAACCTCATCGCTTATTTGACCGGCTCGGAGGAATCAGCTCGGTTTTCCCTGACGTGACTTTGTGCCTTGAACCAGGGCTGGCCGGTGCTGCAGGCAGCTGCCGGAGCAGGGAGGAGCAGGAGGGCGAGGGCTGTCCCGCTGCCCATCCTGGATGCGGAGCTGCGCTTACAGCCGGATGCTCCGATCGCGCTCCCAGTTGCTCAGCTGCCGGGTTCAAACAAGCTGGTGTGTTCCTGGGCACGGGCCCAGCGCTGCCAAGCCTGAGGCTGGCTGCGAGCTCAGGCCCTTTGCTGCCCCACACAGAAGAGCCGCAGCTCCCACGGGCAGGGGGTCGCTCCTGCTGGCCCCTCGCCGGGGGTGGGAGAGGAGAGAGGTGTCGGTGCCACGTGAGGAGGGAGATTTGCATCAAGAGGATGTTTGCTCCCTGGGAAATAGCCTGGGACCGGAGCCTCCCATCGGCTGCCAATATGTGGGCATGACTCTCAGGCAAATGAGCTTCTACCAGCTCACCAGGCCTGCCTCACCGTGTGCCCCACAGCGGGTATGGCCATGTCACCCCTGAGCACGCTTCGGCCCCAGGGATGTCCCCACTGAGGCAGTCCCCGTGTTGGGTACCCCCATTCCAGCAGCACCACCAAGGAGTGACCGCACAGCACCATCAAACAAGTGGCCCTGGGGACCGCATGTCTCAGGAGATGAGCATTTCCCAGTGCCAAAGCCCTCCACCAACAGGGGATTCAACACAAGCTCATTCTGGTGGCCCAGGGCAAGGTAATTATAGCCAAAGATGAAGAGGTTGGCCCAGGCCACATACCACTAAGGTATCTTCAGTTGACTGCATCATCACCACAAAGTGGGTATTTGGTCCCTCCAAGTACCAGTTTTCCAGCACCAGAAGCCCTACAAACAATTGCCAGGCACATGGAATGATACCAGTGCCGCAGAACATGGGCTCAAGCCAGGGCAGTTTGGTACATGAGTGCTCAGCTGCAGCAGGGACATCAGTCAAGGTGATGGCACAGCCATCACTGTGGCCCAGCAGCACCGGGACACCAGCACAACTGGGGGACTCTGCCTGTGTCACCAGGCAGGAGCTCTCCAGCTCCCACAGTGTCCCAGTTGGTGGCCTCCTGTGCAAACAGAATCTTTCCCATGGACATGGGGATGCCTCCTCCCTGGCAGTGTTCAAGGCCAGGTTGGACACAGGGGCTTGGAGCAAGCTGCTCTAGTGGAAGGTGTCCCTGCCTGTGGCAGGGGTTGGAGCTGGAGGAGTTTTCAGGTCCCTTCCAACCCAAACCAGTCTAGGATTCTATGATTCTCACTATGATAGAGGCTGTGGTTTACGTCAGAAGAGCTGCACCATTTCCAACAGGATAAGGACTGGTGACAGGACACTGGAATGGTCAGAGGCTGAGCTGTGGTGCGACCACCCAACATGCACAGCCCAGGTGCTCCACTGCAGCCCCTGCAGCACCTGGGGTCCTCCAGCCCAGAGGCCAGGCAGGCAGTGATGACCCTGCCTGTGTCTGCCCCAAGGACAATGGCCATGCACAGGGTTATAACCATGTTTGGGTCTCGCTCAGGTTTTAAATCCCATTTGTCACAGGCTGGGAGGGGAGGAACACGCAGACCAGCACCCACGGTGGCACCTGTGGGAAGTGGCAGTCCCCAGCCCACATTCCCATGGTGGCCCCTACAGTGTGGGTGTCCCAGGAGGCTGGAGGATCCTGGAGCCTCCCCTTGTCCCCAGGGCTTCCCTGAACCACCCATGAGAGCTCTGCTCCCTGCAGAGGACGCGGGGACCCCTCACATGTGTCTGCACCACACAAGCACGAGGTTTCTCTTACAAATCCCAGCTTCTGCCCACAGGCCAGGCAGGAGCCCAGCCCACCCAGGGCACTGCCTGGGTGCTCACGGGGTGTGGTGTCCATGGGGAGAGCAGGAGGCTCGTCCCGTTGCTGTGCGTGCCCCTGCTTATGCCCCACTGCAAGCACTGCAGCTCACAGGCAGCGCAGAGGAAGGTTTTCTCCTGAGACACACACACACCCGCAGCCCCTTCCCTGCGGCTCCCTTGCCAGGAGCAGCTCCCTGGGGCAGAGCTCCCCCCTGCAAAAGTGAAGATCTCCACACGGATCCAAGGGCGGATCTGCACAAGGAGCCCTGCTCCCACCCGCACCCCACACGGGCTCCCTTCCCCGCTGCATCCCCAGGCCCGGGCAGGCGGCCTCGGCCAAGCGCCACGTTCCCCCCGGGGGCCCTGGCACCCGCTCTGCCCAGGAG